GAGTGCTTTTTGGGACTTTTTTTCTTAACGTTTTCTTAGAATAAGATTGTAATGGGAAAAAAGATCCTTGCCGTGTCTGGATGTAATAATGATCGCTTTTTTCTAGTTTAGTGTGAGAAATATGGTCTTTCACTGTATATTTCTCGGGAAAAAGGCGATCATTATTACATCCAAACACGGCACAAGGATCATTTTTCCCATTACAATCTTCTAAAAAATGTCCCGAAAAGCGCTCGAAAATACAAACGAAATGTGCTCATGCCCCCTGGGCATCCTATAATACTCCTTAAATCGAATTAATTCAATATGACCGCCCTATCGGTAAAAAGGTCTATTGGTTTCCCTAATACTTATCCGCTGGATAGTGATTTATCCGGTGGATAGCGCTATCCATCTTTTGAACAACCGGGGCCTGATAAACCACTATCCAGCGGATAAGTACTTGGGAAACCAATTGCATTATCCACTGGATAGACATTTATCCATCGGATAACGCTATCCACCTTTTGAACAACTGGGACCTGGAACGAGGGTGAAAAAAAGTGTGTACCTGGGGAAAGACGCGAAAAATGCTGTCGCCTTTCAGCTCACGTCCTCAAGAAAAACTGTTTTGCAGTCCGCTAACACTGAATCAAAGAGTAACGAATCATCCAGAGCCATCACTGAACATGTTACTTTAGAATGCAGGGTATCATTACCATTTGTCTCAAGATTTTGTCTGTTTCTGGTCTTTTCTTCTCCTTCAAGGAAAAGGGTGACTGACCACACCACTAGTTGTAAATCTTGAATACTTAAGCTGCATAAACGAATAAATCTCTTAAGAATTTCCCTAGCTTTCTTCCCAGCCCCCTCCCGTTTTTCTGTCCTAGTTTCTTCTATCGGTGTCTCTCCCACCAAATGTGGCGCGTTTCTTAATAATAACAGCGTTCAGGGGTATATTTCTAGTTGGGAGGCAACTCTTACAAGCAGCAGTTTTTCAGACGCAAAAAAGGGACCTTGTCTTTTCTTTGAGGGCAAACACGAAGCTGCTATCCTGGTCTTCAACGGAAATACTTCAACGAACATTTGAATGATTTTTCCATAAGAAAAAGTGTTAGGAATGACGAAAAATCACTCTCCTTTAATTTGTTTTACGCTGCACAACTTCAAAAGCAGCACGACTCTTAGGTGGGGCAAGGACACGTGACGAAGCTCTTAGCTGCCTCAAGCTATATACAAACGGACTCAACACTGTTGGGCAACAACTCCCAACATAGTTGGATGTTACATGTTGTGTCCGTTTGCAAACCCTGTCGCATGCTGTTGCGTGTTGTTTGAAACCGGTCAAACTTTAAGCCCCGTGCAAACGGACGCGACATTTTTGGCCGACAAGTCCCAACATTATTGTTCGGAGTTGTTGCGTCCGTTTGCACGTAACTCCGTTCCCACAACTAACTTAACTTCCACAAATCGCACAACTCCAACAACTCTTAAGGTGACGTTACACGGGACGATTCGCAACGATGATTTTTAGCGCAACACAGAGTTACAATGCTGGAACAATGTTGTAACCATTCGAAACAATGACGCAACAATGCCGCAACGCTGTGTTGCGCTAAAAATCATCTTTGCGAATCGTCTCGTGTAATATCACCTTTACAACCAGCTCAATTGTCACACGACCATAGCTTTCTCAACCAGCACTTTTATCTTTGCCTTACCCCTCCCCTCCACCACACACACACACACACAGGTTTTTTTGTTTTGTTTTGTTTTTTTTTTCTCTGTCTTCTTCCGCACTTTTCACTTTTGTAGTCCAGTTAAATTGTGGTTTATCACCAAAAAAATTGCAACACCGCTTCTGCCGCCTGGTTAGCTCAAGTGGATTAACGCTGGTCTGCCGAGCGGGAGGCCGCTGGTTCAAACCGCGGCGGGGCCAAAAGTTAGGGTCGTTAAATAACTGAAGAGATTCTTAGGAGACAGTGCTGCCTTTGCAAAGACATCTGTGTAATGATCAGCGGTATTTTATAATACTCATGCGTGCATATTGAATTAGATGTTGGAGAATTGGCCATGTTGAAGAACCAGAGAAGTTGTTAATTAAACTGTGTTAATCCTGCTCCATCGTGGTCTCTAGTAAAGATTTTTACTTGGCGTCAGAAGTGAAGAAGGAAAAGTAAATTCTCTAATCTGAAATGTCATACATTTCTACCCCCTAACCCGTGGGGGGACCCACGGGTTAGGGGGTGAAGACGTGTAACATTTCAGACTATAAATTCTCTTAACGCAGAGTGAAGACAGAGCCCAAAGTCCGACTATATCAAAAGCTGCTACCGGGAATAGCACATGTCCCAAGAAACCGTCAATACAGTGTGGGTGAAGGAGGAGGTCTCCACGAACTAGAAGGAGAAAACGTTCCTGAAGAAAACGAAAATACACCGGCAGCAGACGGAGATACACCTCAAGCACATAACGAAAATTTAACGCGAGGAAACACCGCAAATACGCCTCAGTACGATCTTGCTACTGTATATGAAATAGCGCTACATTAAGGCCTCCCTACCCCGGAACCACTCGATTTAAGAGGTGGAATCCGAACGTTTCAGTAAACTGGAGAAAGTTCAAACAAAAGTACACAAATTGTGAAATTTCAACTGGTATAAATACGAAGGAAAGTGCCACCAGAGTAGTTAGGCTACTTTGGGAACGATCACTGAACGATGCCGTCGATGTTTTTAACACTCTGCGTGACTCAGCTGTGACTCTGACATGGGATGCAGAAGGTGATTACAAAAAGATAGACAAAGTCTTAGAGAAATTTGAGGAACACCGTCAACCGAGGAAAAACATTAATTACAGGAGATACAAGTTCTTTTCTAGAGCCCAAGAAAGTGATGAAATTATTGATCAATATGTTACCGTGCTGAGGAAGATAAGTGAAACATGTGAATTCGTCACCTTGAAAAACTCGCTTATCAAAAACAGAATTTTGCTTGGTATCAATGACGCTACGGACAAGAGAGAGATTGCTCAGGATTTCAGACCTCGCCCTGGAAAAGGCTATAGACGTAGTTCGATCTGCAGAGGTAACAGAAAGACAATTAAAGGACATGACAAGGTCGACAAGCCACTCATCTGTACATGGAACATGATGGAATTAGAATGGAGAAGAAAAACACCCTTCACTCAAAAGAATACCCTCAGCCAATGAAGATAGACCCTCTTCAAGCAAGATATTTAATTGTAGACATTTTGGAATAAGACGTGCTGTACGAGAAAAGGCCGGTGTATGGCAAGACATACCGCAATTGTAAGCATCCGTGTCAAGAGCATGTGCCGTTCAGTGAAAAAACGTCCACGGGCTAACGGCAGGCGGAAGACGAAGAGTGCAATTGCGAGTCCCCATTGTTTGAAGGATCAGTCAATTCAGAAGTCAAAATTCAGAAAGACGATTGCTATGTGACTTTATCAGTACAAGGACAGCTCATGCGACTAAAAGTGGACACTGGTTCATAAGTTAATAAAATGCCACTAAAGGAACTCAAGAAGATTCAAGGGAATGCCCCCCTCCCCAGCTACTCAGAAGATAATCTCACAGTATTAGGAACTGTAAAATTGCCTGTGAAATCCAAGTCAAATGTTGACCAAGAGCTCACATTCCATGTAGTGGAAACAAATCAATCAGGATTGGGTTTTCGATCCTCACAAAACTCGGGCCTAATGTAAAGGTACCATGATGGCAAAGAAAGAGAAGGGAGAAATTAACCTGGTACACCTGATGGCAGTGACAAAATTACATGTACAAAAACATCTCAAGAATTCCCTTATGTCCAGGATTGAACTCTGCTACGACATTTACAAAATTAACGATTTTTCGCGAAGAGCTTGCGAAAAGCGGCGCTGCGGATTTTAAAGTTTTACGGGCAATTGCAAAATTTACAAATTTCACGATTTTTCGTCAGAGTCTTCTGCGATTTTAACAACTTGTTCCCAGCCTCCTCCTCAGGCGCTTCGTGTTTCGCATGGTAGAGGCGAGCGCGAAACGCGAGTGACTGGTGATGAACCGCAAGGGACCATGGGAATGGTATAGACGGCAGGCGGAGCGCTGTCTCGCCCGTTGTCTCCTTCCCGCCTTCCTTTGCGCGCACATTTTTATCGAGAGAGAGAGAGAGAGAAGTCTGGGTACCAGCCAGACTTGATCCCCTTTGTTATGTAAGTAACAACACATCCTCAAAGCGTTGCTGCGAATATTACAGTTACAATCTGCAAAGGGTTAGAATTTCTAGTCTTCTCGGATTCTAATTCTAATTCTAATCGTTAATGTGCAAAGGGTATATCCCATCACGGCAGCAAAAGGATAAGGACGATAGGCGTCACACTCCCTTTGCACATACAATTCTGTTGGACTAGGGGATCGAATGTCAGTAAATAACCACAATTTCTCAACCAATGATCAACTCTTATAAATAAAAATTATGTCGGCTAAGTGGAGAAAGCTACGTTTACAGCAAAAGGATCATAGCAATTTTTACTCTTTTGTAATCAATTATTTTGATGCAGAGCCATAACGGAGGAATGATTTTTTTGAAAGTCTATAAGATAATACCGTTTATGGCTCCTTTATCGCGCTTATTCCAGCTGGTTCAGTTGGTCAAATGTTGGCAATTTTTCTGGAGTTGAATGCTAAAAGACTTCATCAAAATCCAGGAAAAAAAAGAAAGTCGACTTGTGTTCACGTCCTTCACACAACGTGAAATTAGGTACTTTCACGTGGTAGTCGTGCACGTGCAGCGACGGCAAAGAAATGCACAAAAAAGAGTGATGTACGTGCAAGGTTGTTGTTTCAGTAATCTAAATCCAGTGCTTTTCTCGTCGTTCTCGTTGCGGTCGCGGTTGTCGCTCATCCCCTTCTCCACGAGAACAAAAGATTCGTTCCCAAGATACATTTCGTGATGCGGTCGAGTTTCCAATATGGCGGCAGTGTTGAACATGAACATGATCAACTGTTTTAAGTGAAAATTATGGCGACTGTGTGGAGAAAGCTACTTTTCAACAAACCAGGAGTACGTTTAGACCTCACCTTACAAAGTGGACAGTCATTCAGATGGAAAGAAACAGCACGTGGCGAGTGGACCAGTGTTATCTGCGGCTTCGTTTGGATTCTAAAACAGTTAGAACAAGGTGAAATTTTGTACCGTGTTTATAAGTCGTCAAATGGACCACACTCATCACGCGGAAAACGGGTCTTAGAAGAAGTTCAGATCTCTTCGGAAAGTGAAAAGGATAAGGGATCGAAAATTTACGAGTCTATTTTGAGAGATTACTTTCAAGTGGACGACGTAGATGTAGAGATCCTTTTTGACCAGTGGAAAACAAGTGACCCACACTTTGCTAAAGTTTCAGACGAATTCCGAGGCGTCAGAGTTCTACGACAAGATCCAGTGGAAAATTTATTTTCTTTCATTTGCTCATCAAACAACAATATCCCACGGATAAGTGGAATGGTTGAAAAACTGTGCCAGGCATATGGCCAGAAATTGGGAGAATTGCATGGAGTGACATATTTCACTTTTCCTTGTTTAAAAGATTTGACCGGTGCAAAAGTTGAAGAAAATTTACGGAAGATGGGCTTTGGATATCGAGCAAAGTTTATTAGTCAAAGTGCTTGTTTTATTCTTAAACATCATGACAGTGGCTGGTTGGAAAAATTAAGAAGTGTCTCTTATGAAGAGGCCCATGCAGGTAAGTCGTACCTGATACAGCACACATTAATATTAGGGCCATTTAAACAAGGAAAAATAAGGCATGTCTTACATAGGACGCGTCCTAAATAAGACTCAAACTATCCCGTACAAACGGCACATTTTGTTTTAAATTTATCTAAGACGCATCCTATCTAAGAACAGCCCTTAACACCTGTTCTTTGATAAGACACGTCTTTGCTAAGTCGCATCTTAATGTGCCATTTATAGGGGATAGTTTGTGTCTTATTTAGGATGCTTCTTATTTTTCCTCGTATAAATGGCCCTATTGTGCTCCAGTCTTTCTAGATGAGTCACATCAATCTCTTCCTAACCCTTTCGGAGGATTCTTTAGCAGTGTTGACTGTAAGGGAGGAGAGGTTTACAGTCAAGTCACCCGAAAGTCATCTCGCTCAAAGTTATGATGCCCAAACAGGGCTGTCACTAAGAGCCGGGGGCCGGGGATTTCCCCCGGCTACTATGAGTGTGGTTCCCGGCTACTTTTATTGGAAAATAGAAGAAAAATAGAGCCAAAAGAAATTCGTTGCTGTTTGATTCCCCGCCTACTTGTTGTACTTACCCAGCAACTTGAAATTTTAGTGACAACCCTGCCCAAACATTTCTCATGCTCTACAAAGTCCTGACACCTTTATCACACTTGTTTCATCTCACCAAATCTTAAAGAACAAGTTGTATCGCTCATTTATCATGCATGTTTCATTTCATCAAGGCTTAAAGAACAAGATATGTTACTCATCTATCCTCATCTATCCTCACTCATCTATGCTTGTTTTGTGTCATCATCGCTTAAAAAACAAGATATGATAAAATTGATCCCACTTGTAATCATCTCATTAATCGCTTAAAGAATGAGATCACACTCCGTTGAACAAGATATATTTAACATACACTCTTTACTAAACTTTTGGGTGACATAACTCAGCATTTTAGGCAAGCTTAACTAAAATTTTAGGCCACATAGCTCTGGTTTTGGGTGGCACAACTTTGGGTGAGATGACTTTTGGGCGACTTGACCAGTTACCGGGAGAAGGACATGTACAAGGAGAGAGGAAATGCCTGCCTTGGAGAGCTACAAAAATCATTCCCCCCCTACCAGTTTTCCTACCCTGTTTTGACGGTGCTTTTTATTTGGGGGGATATGCAAGCATTAACATTTTGCTTTGGTTGTAGCATGAGTCACAGGAGGCTGGAAATGGGGCAGTGGAGACATGGCTAACATTTCAAATGCTGCCAGTTATCTGAATTTCCTGTGTATTCTTGTTGCATCTCACTCTCACTATTTTAGTTATTACTTTTCATAGGCAACTTTATTTTTGTCTCTTTTGCTTTGCGACTGGATCTGAAATGTTCTTTTAACCATAAGCTTTTACTCTGACTCAGAATTTCCTAAACACAAACAAAGAAGGTCATTTTCTAGAGCCAGAATAAATAATGCTTTTGGAAGAATATATAGTTTTGCTTGCTGCTAAGTCCTTACAAGACATATGTTACTAAGATGAACACAGATATTTCTTTCCAACAGCAAAAATTAATTGAAATATGTGAAGCCATTCATAATTTTATTTTCACTGAGTTCTTTGGTCACACTTAAAGTTCACTGGGCAGGCATTCATCAAACTGTTATATAATAAAACAGCAATCAGATATGGTGGTGCAACGATTAATTAAATTCTCGATTAATTGCGATTATGACCGTTCGGTTCGATTCACGATTCTTTGGTTCCATGTTTTGATTTTGGTTTGATTTTTGCACACCTTTTCCAGGGTGCCCTTAGTGAGTTATTAGATTGTAAAATCGGAATCCAGAACGCTTTAAATTGTGCGTTTATGATTGACGAGCAAAGACGATAGCATTTCGTGCGCCTTTTTGTGTTGCCTGGTAAAAATGCTGTCCTTCAACCACCCCTTGAGAATTTCCAAATAAGGCAAACTATGGGTGACACACTCTTTGTCAGGTTCTCAAACATGGCAACTAACCAAGTGACTGTGAATCCTCCTGTCCCTGGTACTATTCTCAAATGGAGGGTTTAGGGTTGTATGTTGTTACATTACGCGTTATGTTATAAGAATTAAGAAACATTTACATAATCGAATCGAAATAATCGAAATCAAAAGGCAATAATCGAAATCGAATCGAACCGCAAGGAATATGAATCGTTACACCCCTAATCAGATACACAGCAAATATGTGCAGGCATATATTCTTCCCCCTTCACCCTATCTCCAACTTCATCCTTTTATCTTATGTTCACCAACTCAACTACACTACCCACTCTTCTCAGTCTTCCACTGCTTTCAAAGTAAAAGATGGTGACTGTTATGAAGGCAAATTTGCAGCAAATACTGAAGGCTCTTTTCTAAAAAAATGTGCCCACCTTTCAAGCTCAAATTTTCTCATTTGGTCTAGTTCTTTAACTGGCATGTCCAGTGTATCTGTGAGGATGTTTGGGACTGGATTATGGTAAAATCCCATATCAGTCCAGTCGACTGAAATGTGCAGGTACCAAAAAATACCAGAGATAAACTCAGTTGGAGACATGAAAAGAAAATAAGCCTGGAATGGGTCAGTCATCAGTAACTTTTCTTTGTTTTTTAGCTCTTTGTGAGCTGCCAGGTGTTGGAGCTAAGGTCGCTGACTGTGTGTGCCTAATGTCACTTGACAAGACTGAAGCAGTGCCGGTAGACACACATGTCTGGCAACTGACTACTAAAAATTACATGCCACATCTACAGAAAACCAAGTCACTCACTACAAAGATGTATAAAGAAATAGGTGAGGTCAATTTCTGACTTTTAGGCAAGTTTCAAGTAATGCACTATTTACAATGTAAGGCCTTCACTGCACGGTTTTTAACAATTACTTTTTATTTTTTTAACTTTTTTGTCACAATGGTCATCAATAGTGGAGAAGGTATTAAACCTATTTTGAAGCCCCATGTAAACAGATGCAATATTGTTAAATGTTACATGTTGATGGAGTTGTTGTGCAAAGTTTGAAACCAGTCAAAATTTGAGCCAACAACTCCCAAGATTTCTTTTGTTCCGTGATCGCCAAAGTGTAGTGCAACAATGTTGGATCCGTTTCTATAGCTCTTCCAACATTTTTGGGGCCATGCACGTGCATTTCACAGGATTTGCAAAGTCTTCTGTGTTGTATCCTTCCCACAATGCCTTGCAGGTGACACGTAGCTTAAGGTGCAGGCAATGTGGTGATAGGTGTACATGTATGACACAAGGAGCATGGGGAGGGGAATATGACAAGGAAAATATCATGTGATCTATTATTTTGAGCCCTTCCTTTTCATATGCTGCGTGTTCTAGGCACCTCTTTCTATTATTTTTTGCTTAGTACACCTGACAAGTGTACTTGGAATTTAGTGAGACCTTTGTTAGTTTATTGAATTCAAC